ATTGTCCAGATAAGTTCAGTGGCCTCTTGGGGAGACCTTCTCTGGTCTGAAGGTAGGGCTAACAGAGTAAAGATCCGGTCGGTTAAAAGCCCCAACAAAACCTCAGTATCAATATACAACATTATGGAATTAATTGATTGACATAGTATTGGGTAAACAATATGTTAAAAATAATGCAAGTTCCATTCTTCGAAACATCTGGGTTGAGACAGTATCAATGACAGGTTCAAAAAATAATAAACAACCAAACAAACAAAAAAAAAATTACAAGTTAAATCAAGGCAAACATGTGGCATCTAACCTTTTGGGATTCACTCATTTCCCTTAGCATTATAGTTTCCAGTTGGGCCCATTTAGCCACAAAGAACTGCATTTTTTTTTAATAGCTGAGTAGTATTCCATGGAGTAGATGAACCAAAGCTTTCTTATCCAATCTTCTGCTGATGGGCATTTCGGTTGCTTCCATGTTTTTGCAATTACTTTAACAAAGAAATCCTGAGCTACTCAAGTGAGAGTTCTGTGTTCAGATCTGAGCTTGCTGCACTTTGAGCTTAAATGTCTCCATGAATGGAAGCAGTCATGAGTGCCACTATTTCCATGGTGATACCAACACAAGCATTATTTACATCTGCAATCCTACAGGACACTGTCCCTAGCATTCCCAATAGTTTAACGTCCTCTTGTGCATTTTGAATAGATTGTATAATTTCATTTGACTAACAGTCATTGCGTAATGGAACTTTCACTTATGTTACTGCCAAATACATGGGAAGATTTTGTTACTTAAACCTCATAGTCTGTCCTACTTTTTCTCTAGTCAGACTTAATGGCAAGTGTTACTTAATCAAAAATTAGGCAGCATACAAATATAGTAAGGATATAGCACCCGTTTGCTTCTAAGGTTTGGATTATAGTATATTCAAAGAGTAATTGTTTGAAAGGTGCAATGATTGAGGTGGTGAGTGAGGGCAGAGAGGGATCTGCATGCTGGCTCCTCCCTTAGGCGGCTGCAGCAGTTGAAACTGATGGGCTGAATCCAGGAGTCCAGAGCTCCGCTGGGACTCCTTAACTAAGTGGTAGGGATTCAAGTAGTTTGGCTGTCTCCTGCACCTCCACAGGCACAAGAGGGGGGAGCTGGATCAGAAGCAAGAGCAGCTAGGTCCTGAAGTGGAACTTTAGCTTGGGATGCCAACAGTCAGACTTCAGCTTAGCTAACTGCATTGCAACACTGGCTGCTAGACTATGATTTTCAACCGTAATATTTAAAGTTAACATCTTGACTTCCAGCATTTTGAAACAAAATCAAAACTGCCTCTGCATAAGCTCTTATATGGAGCTAAAGGGCATCTGTCCCTTTGTTTTTTTACAGCCAGACTACCCCATCTGTCCTATTCTTGCCCAAGCACATTCATTCTGACTCGACCTACCCAGCCCTTTAAGACATTTAGGAATTGGATCCTGCCATTGCCATGGACTACAAGGGACTCATCTTGCTAGATTTACTCTAGCTAATATGGGACAGAAAATGCAGTCTGTTTCCTAACTCAGTAGCATCTTCAGGGCTTACTATGGTGCTTTTCACATAATGAATGTTGGACAAGTGGGTTTTGATGGAAATGAATTATGTCCTGCAATGAGGTACTACAACATGCTCACACACTCTCTGAAAACAGGCCTTTGTTTTCTTTTTCCTCAGTTTGATCTAGTGTCTTATTTCTTGTGTAATTGGCCTGTGTAGCCTCCTGCATATTTACTTCCTGTGTTTATCCTAACTTGTCCAGCTGTAATGTTTCTACATGTCAGGATTCATAAATTTTAATGTCCTCGGTCCTCTGGTGTCAGAGATGCATGAGTGGGCCTCATGGCTGAATAACAGCAGTAAATAAACACTTGTAGAAACTACTTCTGCATCTTTCTAGTTCAATAGTAATTAGCTTATTTAATGTTTAGGTAATATGTGGCATTATTTATAGTAATGAACTTCCCAGAACACTAATTTGAAACCGTATCAAGTTGAAACTAACTAGAATTATATTAATATTATATTAATGTCTGGAAGCAGGGTTAATGTCAACAAGGTTTCTCTTGTGGCTATGTGAACACTCCAATTTCTTCACATGTGACCATGAGACCATTAATGACTGATCTTCAAAGGGATTTGCAGGAGACATCCAAGGCCCTTTGACTGAATCACAGGAGTGTTCATTTTTCTGCCTCACCTAGGTCTCTTTGCAGCATACCACTCTCTAAATGCAGAGAAGGCTCAACAGTTTGGACCCTTGCAAAGATATTTGGATTCCTTCCTGCGGTGTGTACTACATACATAAGCTGGAGAGAGAACAGTGATAATTAATTAGGTGCCAGACAGGATAATTGTAGAAACTGTAAAAGATGCTAAAATGGTGTTACTGGAGGCGTAGACACACCTTTGAGAGCGTGAAGTTAATTTGTGTGAGAAACATTGCATGCAGGTGGATACAGAGAAAGGAGGTGCAATTTTTGTCTAAATAATTTAGACTCCAAACTGGGACAGTTCTTGCAAACACACTCTTGTTGCTGAGATAATGCAAGAACTCAGAAAGGGGGCCTCTGGGACGCTCTTGATAGTGGTTGCCTTTTTTGTGACCTTGAACATGATTAACTACTAGAAAGTTAGAGTTTTCTAATCCCAGTAGGATACGGGAAAGGACACTGCATTTTTAACTACTTTTTAAACAATAGGCTTTCTTACACCTTCCCGTTAATAATTTCTCTAAAGAACACTACAGCTCCAGACACTATTATGCTAGGAGAGATGACCTTGTATCTTCAATGTCTTTGTAAATTCCCCACAGACTAATTTCTACCAACTTTGAACACACAATAAGCTGATGAATGAGAAACACACAGAGAAAGAGGGATTGGGTTGTCTGTATTACGGAAACACTCAGGACTGTTGAAAACTGTGATAACAGCAGGATTCTTAGTCACTGATGTTGTTATTTTCCTTGCTATTGTCATTATTGAAATAGTTCTTTGGAACATGAAAACCAAGCAGGCTGATCTTGTACCATAATGGGTTAAGCACTGCCTGCATCCCCAACATTCTAAATGGATATGGGTTTGAATACTAGTTGCTCTACTTCCAATCCAGCTCCCCATTAATGCGGCTGGGAAAGCAGCAGAGAATGGGCCAAGTGTTTGGTACTTACACTAATATGGAAGACACAGAAGAAGCTCCTGGCTTCCAGCTTTGGACTGGTTCAGCTCTAGGCATGGACACTGTTTCCTTCTATCACTCTAACTCTGCCTTTGAAAAATTAAGCAATTTTTAAGAATGAAAATCAAACTGTTTCTTTTTTTTTTAAAGTATGTGTGTGTGTGTTTTGAAAGACACAGTGAAGGAAAGAAAGGGAAAGACACAGGTAGACACACACGCAAACACACATGCACACAAATATCATTCATTTATTGATTCACTCCTCAAAGGGCTCCACTTTGATGCCAGGACTGCCAAGGGACCCATGATCTCCTACCGGACACAAGCACTTGGGCCAACTCAGACACATTAACAAGAAGCTGGATTAGAAGTGAAATACCTGGGACTCAAACCAACATTCTGATATAGGAAGCAGGTGTGACAAATAGCAACCTAACCCCACTGATCCCCAAACCAAACTTATTAAGATTAATTATTGGCAATGCTCACTTTGATGTTCTAGAATGTCTTTATAAAGGAGAACATGGAAAAAATTAGGGAAAGGTTGACTCCAATGATAAGTTTATTTTGTGCTTTCTACCCCCCTGCCAAAAAAAAAAAAAACCACATGTGATGTTTTCATATCTTTGTTTCAACGATTTTTTCAGAAGGATTCTCATGTAATGATTATAGAGATGACTGTATATAGGCATTATTCTCTGGAAATGGTTTTATCACCCAACGCTGTGGCTTCCTAAACCATTTGTTCTCTTGTATGTCTGGCACGGGAATGAACAAACTATGCCATTTCTCACACAAGTTTCCAGTGTTCAGTAAAAATACAGCAGGTATCACCTTGGACTTGACTGTGATACGAGGCCCTAAAAGAAGAGACTGAAAATCAAAATGGTGTTACTGAAGCCAAAATTTCATACCATAAACCACAGCTAAACTCTTTCTCTGATTTTCCAAGAAACCAGAAGAAACAAGAGACAGCAGCCAAGTTTTTCACACAAGCCAGTTTGAATTGGCTTTGCAATGAAGTTCTGCTTTAAACTTCACACATTATGTTGATCAATAGTAGACTGATGTGAGCCAATTCATTTATTTCAATATTCTGTGTTGTTGTCCCCAACTTACAAGGCAAATGCCTTAGAAGTGACCTTCAGATCCTGGTCTATGCTTTTTTTGTTCAGTGCTTCTGTCTTTATAAGCAAACATTTCCTGCTTACTCTTTCAAAGGACTTTTCCATTTTAAGGAAGGAAGTGTCTCTTCCTGAAATGAAAAAAAAATAGTAGGACATTTTTCAATGAAGATGCCCGTATCCCACACTGGGTGGAGGACTTGCGTTGGCATTACAGACTGTATCCCAGTCCCATCCTCCCAGCTCCGCAGCCAGGTAGACCCTGGGAGGCAGTGGGACATCTCCAAGGAGTTCAGTTCCAAGTGGCTTCCATTCCCAGTGGCACCTTGGCACACTGTGTCAGGATGTCTGCCTGTCTGAGTTTTCTGTATGTAATATAATGACACCCACCCACTCTCCCAGTTTTTCATCTATATAATCATACATGCCTGGCATGCAGATGTGCAAATATAGAATGAATTTGATAATGCCAATACAAATTATATTTATGCAAGGTGAATTTATAAATTTTATAGAATAGCATAGCTAAACTGTACTTCATGGATGCAAACAAATGAATTTTATTTGTGTTTTTTATAGTATATATTTTCCACAAAGTTTCTAAGTTTACTCATGTCTCTAAGTGATGTTAATTATTTTTATTAATATTTTAGGACAATAATTTCTCTTTTTTCTAGGTAACCTTCAAAGCCTCAAGACATTCGGTTTCACCAGATTTAAAATATGTTCTTCTGGCATATGATGTCAAACAGGTAAAAGAGTCAACTTCTTTCAAGAAGACATTTCTTTGTGCTGCTCTCTGTTGACGGTGCATAGTTTTACTTAGCCAACTCTTCAGGTAGGGAAAACTTGGCATATCTAATAGCTGGAGAGAAACACTGGATACACAAGAGAGGTTTGAAGGCAGTGCTTCTTTGTCCATTTCTGGTTAGCAAATAATTGGAAAAATTGGTCTGGTCTTTGAGTTGGTCCATGTCAGGCTTTAGCAAATGCAGCAGGTGAGGGCAGCTGGACAATTTAGTGTCAGTCTTTCTGTGTCCTTGAATGTTTTCCTGTGCTTTTTTGTGTCAGGCAGTTTGCTGTTGTCTGTGCCTGAGGCATAGTGTGTATGTTGAGAAGGGATCCCTGAGAGCTTTGTTTCACATTGTGGTCAATGGACTCTGGTGGCATTGGATGTTAGGTTTTGTGGCTGTCATTATGCAAGTAGGACAAGCAAAGAAATTAATTCTGAGCAAATAAAACCTTCTAATTGCAATTAATGTCTAATTGTTCTCCTTCAGTTCAAAATTGCAATTAGAGCAATATGTATGGCTGTTGAGTATTTTGTACTTAGATATAATTTGCACAGTTAAAGTAAAGTAAATGTCGGAAAGACAATTCAACAGATTAGTTTCTGTAGAGAGGAAATGATTGGAAATCATCCAAGAAAGTTTTAGGAGCTTTACGATGGACAATAAAAATTTATAGACTTAAGGCCGAAAGGCTCCTAAAAGGCTTTCCAAGTCTTGAAACACATGGACTTTCACAGCTCAAAAGACATGTTTGATGCTTTAGTCTATTGGAATACATTCAGGTATATGCTCTAATTGTTAGAGTTGCTTATATTTTTTTCATTTAAAGGACTAATTTATATTGACAGAAACAGGAACACTGTAACCCAAGGTATCTTTCTCCTATTACGTAACAACTATTGTTCTGATTCTTTTTCCTGAACTTTGCAGTGCTTTATGTTATATTTAGTCAGCGGGACTAGTAAGTCACATTTCATTAAAAAAAATATTTTTAAGAACAAAAATATCAAAATACCCAAAAATGTTGTTTAAAATGGCATTATTCATTTTGAGGATTAATACAGTGACTACTATATAAATAATAGTCTTGGTGTTTGAAAAGACTTTCAGTGTAACAGTCCGGGATGAATCCGGCAGCCACATAGACACAGATCGATGGATGAGAATAGAGAACTAATAAACGTATGTTCCCAAATGTGCCTGATTTGGGAGAAGCTGCAAAAGTAATTCCATGGAGGAAAAAAATAGTCTTTTCAGAAAGAATGTTTGGCAATTAGATACCCATAGACAGAATAAATATAGCAAAACAAACAGTAGATTTACCCAATCCACACATCTTTGACATATTCCAAATAAATAATAAATTTAAATGTAAAATGAAAATTTGTCAATATAGAGAGATGAACAACATAGGAAAAATGTTTGGGTTGTCACTCATCTCTGCCCTGAAAACACCGTCCATGAAATGAAAACATGGGCTCTGTGAGAGGCCTTGTTCTGGAGACTAAGATACAAGCTGCGCTTTAGGAAGAAGTATTTGCAGTTCGCATAGTACTTGACAAAGGATCAGAGTTCTGAATCAAAGAACTCTCAGCTAAAAACAGGAAACAAAATAGAATGATAACGGCAACAAGAAAACTAGACTGGCTTTACAATGCACAAGCCTGTTAGACATGGAGACACTTTACTGGAGCAACAACGTAGGTGGCAGGAACATCAGCAGCCATCCTGCAGCTACAACCATGATGATATGCTGGAAAAATCTAGGAAAGTGACTAAAACCAAGCAAAACAGTGGAAATGCCAAAACTCTGACAGTATGCACAGAAGCTGGTGCTATTAGGTATATACATACACACATAGCTATCCCAAATAAATATATAACATATAATATATAACATATAATGTATGTATGATATTATTACATATAATGTATGTATGCATTATATATATATAATATATATATATAATTTTGTAGCTGCTCTGGAAGTTTTTGGTAGTTTTCTGAAAACGCGAATCTACAACATGAAAATTCAACAACTGAATTTATCTGAAAAATGAAAGTTTATGTTCCCATGAAAATTGTACAAAACATGTGATTTTATTAATAATAAATGATACTTTAAAAAATCATCCTCAATAGATGAATGGTTAAAACTGTGTGGCACTTCTGCAAATCAAGCGAAACAACTTCAGATGTAAGAAGCAACCTGGATGAATCTGTAGCATTTTGCACAGTGAGGGGAAAAAATTCATCTTAAATATAATTGTTTATAGCACTGTGTTTGCATATCATTATAGAAATGGAGGAATTGTGGAAGTGGAGGGCAGGCTAGTCCATTCCAGGGGAGTGTGGCAAGTGGCTGTTTTTGTTATGGAGCAGTGAGAAATGGTAGAGATGGATGTATTTAGACTACATATGGTTCCACATCCTGTTAGCAATCATGTATTCTTTCCAAGTTTTTGCCATCGGGGGACATGGACTGATCTGCATTATTTCCTGCAAATTTAAGTGAATCAATACTTACTTCAAAGTAAGACGTTTCATTCATGAGAAGCTGTTATTGATGAAAATTTGTTAAGAAAACCCAGCTTTTCTGTTATATCCAATACATAAACTATACTAACATTTTTGAACTCTTAAGCCTCAAATATGTAGATTAAAGAGGTGAGGATTTAGTTCCCACTTTCATATTTAGTTTTACACGAATTTGATATTGTAAGAAAAGGGGGACATGACAAAGAAACAAGGAAAATAATGTGAAGAAGTATCTGGCTGTCTGTGCACAAAGCAATGGGGGAACCCAGGGTACAGACCAGGTTGCTAAGAAAGCTGCGGCCATGCTAGCAAGGGCATTACTGTGTTGTCTTATGTAGGCTTTTCCAACTGTTCTTACTCGTGCAACTCATGGGCCTTGAATGGTAACAGTAGAGGTTCTGATGCTTTTGGATCCTGAGAGGAAGGATTTGGACTTCTTCCATCTCATGTGGTAGATTCAAGCGGGAGTGGATGACCTCAGATGACCCATGTCCCCAGTCTGGCTTTCCATGGCTGTGATGAAGGAAACAGGAACACATCTGAGATCTATTATCTTGAATAATTCCGTGCTGTAAAGAGAAAGACCTATAACCAATGCACAGCTTATAACTTCAAAGTATCTAACACTTTTTTTTTTGTTTAGGATCTGTTTAGATTTTTGCAGAAAGTTAGGTTATTGTTTTCTTCCTTGTTATCATCAACTTTAGTCAAATATCACTGCGTGGGGTAGGAAACATTTAGGAGTCTTTTTTTTTTTCAGTCAGCAGCTATCTTCTGTGTACTTTGTCAAGAGTTTGTGGCACTGTTTTGATGTTTGCCACCATAGTTTTGCCTGAGAATATGAAGCATTTACAAAAATTATTCCGACTGTGTAGAAAGTCCAGTTTAATTGATTGGTCATGTGGTTCAAACCTTGGATTTAAAAATCCCCGCAGGGAATCAGCATAAAGCCAAGGTTAAAGACAACGTAATGGCAGTGAGTCGGTCTCTTCACCTGTCCAGGACTTTGCAGACTTTAGACAAGGGAAATGCTGGAAATAAAAATAACAACAGCTGTTTTTACACCGCATCTACTTTATGCCAAAGTCCTGACTTGTACACCTTTAACCTTTACACCTTCTCTTTATACCCGTTGATGCTATTCCTGTTGTACTGGTGAAAATAGAAAGGCTGAAAAGTTTCTACACGTCCTAATGTGGGTCAGGAGAAAACTTTTCCTTCTAGACAAGTGTGTCCCAGTTTCTAATCCCAGTGTCACATATGGGAATTCATAAAAAATGTCCATTCTCTAGTTGCTGACCCTCACTGGGTGTGGCCCAGAAAGCTGTGATGGGAGAAATTGGTGCACACACATGACTGAGTAAAACCTGTGCTTAAATTCAATCTATTCATACTTAAAATCTTTTGCAATATGCGTAAAAGGATTTTCACTTTATTTGGAGTATCATCTAATGAATTTAGATAAACTGAACACCGCAGTGTTCCTTTGGCAGTCTCTATCCTCTCTCAGTGGCACCACTGACTGAATTCTAATAGCTTCAATTCACGTTGCCTTTTCTTGTGTAATATGCCAATAGAGCCCTTCAGTGAAAACGCCATACAGGATAAATGCATATTATCCTCTTTTGTCAATCTTGGGTTTGTAAAATATATTTGAATTTTTTCAACAGTTGTAGAATACATTGTTTATTTTTCCACCACAGAGAATGCCAATACATATTATAGTATGAGAAGTTCACAGGAAATAAAATTAAAAGAAATTTTGCACTAAAACATTTATCTGAATGGGTTTAAATACACTAAACATAATGAATGCATATAATGTATAAATGAATTAGGTTTTGGTTACTCTGATCGTAATCATAGCCAACATCCAGATTAAGAATGTAACCTTATCAGTATCACAGGAGTCCTATCTACCCCATTTCTGTAATTCCTTCATCCTAGATGTATGGAGTATATCATGACTGGCATGATACATTTCAGTGAAGCAATATTTATAACTGTATACCAAACGGTGTAACATCACACAATTTTAATACTCTTTTAGTAACAGCAAATAAAATAATATGTGGCATTTGTCTTTTTGGTTTTGGCTGATCAAATGAGATAATAATCTCCAGTTGCATTCATTTTGTTACAAGTTTCATGATTTCATTTTTTTATGGCTCAGGAATATTTCCTCAAGTATATATATCTGTGCTTATCTCACATTTCTTTCAGTTACCAACTGATATGTATTTAGTTTAATTCTTTATCTTAGAGCTATTATGAACTGATCTGTGGCAAACATAGAAATGCAGATGATGCTTTATATGCTAATTTCATTTCATTTAGGTATATTCCCTCGAGTGGGACAGTGGATTCCTAGTGTACATTGATCTTAGGTTTTTTCAGGAGTCTCCATACAGTTTTCCATGATG